TAAAGATTATGTTCTCAGAATCCCTGGGAGGCCAAAAGGAAAAATAAAAACGAGGACAAGCCGCCCCTTTTCTGTCCCCCCTCTCCACACTCCTTTCCCCTCTCCTGCTCCAGTGGCACCTCCAGCTCCTGAAACTCAAAACCTGTCAGCAGAGCTGGAATCTCAACCGCTCCCCGCTCCGAGCGTGGGAAGCAGGCAGCAAAGGACCCAGCCCACAGTGCGGCCTTTCCCACGAGGGATCTCACCAGCCCTCTGACTTGTTCAGAGAGGAGCTCTGGAGAAGTTCAGCAAACAGGAGAAGTATCAGCAGAAGGGTGCTCAGACGTCTGTCAAAGCTGCCGAGAAGCCACAACTAGATAAGACTCTGCTGGACAGTCCAGGAAAGACAGTTGCTAAGAGCTGCGGGTGACATGGCCAGTAACCTTTTCAAGTGGAGAATAACGGGGAAGGAGCAGTGTACAAAGGATGAGAAGGTGGATCCAGCACTCAGAGGCTGCAGCCGACGCCCTCACCAAGCAGACTGGGCTTAGTTTGCACACCTGTGACATTAATTTGCTAAGAGAGCCTCTTAGTAAAATGCTGCTGTGTTTTGCATCTGTCTGTGCCTGACTCAGTGTCCTGGACCACGAGTGCCACTTGAGGATGATACAGGCAGAGCATGCAATTAACAACCCACAGCCTCAACAGAGCAGGAGCCAGTGCTTGGATGTGTGCGTCCATTTATCCCCAGGACTCAGGAATGGAAAGTTATTGATGTGGACGCTCACCCCATGCATTTCCCTTTCTCTTATCTTGTACATTGTCCTCTGGCTGAACTCTGGAACTTGGAGGCTTGTCTTAAATAGATACATTCTGTCAGCAAACCTTTATCACAGGGGTTTCTCTGCTTCATTTTGTGCTTGAGAGACATACATTAGATGAACACAGTCTGTGCCCTGGAGATCACAGGCTGCACAGTTATGCTAACTGGTGTCTGTTTTCCTTAGTCCAGGCTAGCGTGTGCCCCAGAGTGGCCCTTTCCTCCTGCATCTTCATCCAGCTCCTGGGAACAGAGCAAGGGCTGTCGTTAATAAGCCTGTTGAGTGAAAGCATTTCCTTTCGTTCTGGTGCCCTGGGTCTCCAGGTTCTTCCCCAGGGTCGCCTTGCTGCAGCTACAAGTTACCATTCCTCTGCTCAGTCTCTCAGCCCCAGTGGGCTTTGTCCCATTAACACACCCTGCCTTTTCATTGCGGTCCTTAATTAGGGAAGTCCTTTAAAGACCAAGCCAATTCCTTGTCCCTCCTTGTTTGCAATGTGGCTAAGCATACATCCTCCCTTTTCTTGCCGCCCTCCTACCACTCCCCCAGCTTCCATCCTGTATCCTGGTGGGAGCTGAAGCCAATGGGAACACAGAACTAGGGTGCTGTGGCTTTTCACCAAGTCTCCTTGGCTTGGGGAAATCCAGTTTTCTCTTAGGCTACAAGTTGTATGATATGAGGAAACATCAAGCGTTTGTGTCTAATTTCAGCAGGAGAGGGAGAGGGGGCTTTTAGCCTTGATGATAAATCTGGATACCAATCCAGCAGACAGAAGGCAGATTTCATCTTGGAACTCTGCCCAGACTGCAACATCTAACTGTTTGCCCTCCATCCCAGTTGCCATCACAGCCAGCTTTACTAAGCCTTTTCTTGGGAAACTGTCCGGTACATTTTAGTGAGAGCAAATGTCTCCTAGAGATAAGGCATTCTCATGTCCATTTTAAAGCCTAGAGATATTATGGAAAGGAAAATAAAAATTTATCAAAGGGCATTACAGCAATTGCCATTGCAAGAAAAATCTGTGGGTGTCAAAAATATTTCCAAGTTGAGTGTCTATTTTAAGCATGAGTTTGAGAAAGAAAAAACAAAAACAAGGGTAGTGAAAGACATGGGAGAGGCCTTTTAAATCGGTTCTAATGAGAGAATTCTATCAGCTCTATCCATGCTCAGAATGAGCACTTAATTTTAAGGAAATTACATTTTTGTGCAGCTTAAAATTTGGGAAATGAGAAATCAGCTGTGGAAGCGGACTCAGTGTTGGAACCCATAGCGTAGCTGAGGCCAGGACCTGGGAGACGTCGGGACCCACCGGGGGCCTCCACTTCCTCGTCTGCAAACTGAGGAGGGGCTCCCTTTGGACGGAAAAATCCTGTGATTTCCCCAGTGCCTTAATCTGTGATAGCCTTGGCTTTCTTTTGCAGTACGGATTTCCAGAAAAGCTCTTAATTCAAGGTCATTGAATATACCTATTGGAGCCCAGTGTCATTTCTTTGTGGCCTCGGTATAGTGGTACCTTTTATGCCAGAGTGTCTTACAATGAGTTGTTTTGGGGTTTCAGTAAATAGATTTCATCTTCCACCCTGACCCCAGGCTTCCCCACCCCATAGCAAGGAGTCCAAGCTTAATCTACTGGCACTGAATCCATTTCTGTCCCGAATGCTCTTAGAGCAGGACTGCGTCAGAAATAAGAAAGAGTATGCTGCTTCTGTCTCAGAGCTTCTGAGATGCTGCCGTCATCCTTCAGACCCACTTGATGTGCACGGAAATGTTTTTATGATAATCCAGGTTATAAAAACAAAAATGAGAGTGGCCACATGTTGAACTATGAGAGAGCCGTAAAGAACAGGGCACTGGGGAAGCACTGTGCCCTTGTGTCCACATGGGACCATTAGTGAGCTGACATTGAGCCTCTGACGAGTCATTTCTCACCAGTGCCCGAAGTGGTGGCCTCATCTAGGAAAGGCACAGCCTTGTGGAGGCAGAGGGGTTACATTTAGATCTCATCTAGACGCTTCCTGCTGTCATGTGACCTTGGCCCAGGACCCCACCTCCCTCAGCCTGACTTTCCTCATTCTAAATATAAGGATAAACATGAGTACAGTATGAGATTTTTTTCCCCCTTTTTTTGGGTGAGAACTAAACAAGTTAATGCACATAAAGTGCCTGACAAAATACCTAGCACATAGTGGCCACTCTTAAAAACGTACCAATATTGTATAACATTGGGAACCGACTTAATGCCACTGAGTCTTACACTTAAGATTGGTTCAAAGGGTGAGTTTCGTGTTACGTGCATTTGAGCACTCACACACAAAGAAAAGCAGCGTTGTACCTGGCCGTCGTCTCTCAGTGCCTGAGAGGCACCAGCTGCATCTTTAACCTCCTGTGATGGAAGGGGAAGTTAGCCATGTTGACTTAGATTCACAGAACATGATTGCTGGAGGGGGCCTTGGGGGTCACCTAGTCTGACCACCCCGTATGGTGGTGCTCCGCCCCACCCTGCCGGGGACCAAGGTCTTCACACTTGCCCCACTTCCCGAAAGCTTCTCTTCAACTTTGCGGGTGTTGAGCAGCACGGGGCCGGGTGGTGGTGAATTTCAAGCAGAAGGCACCTGTGCGGAGGGGGCCGGCGTTCTTCCCCAGGTTGGGTTGTGCCTGGGTCTCCAGGTGACCACGCAGCTCTACCCTGATGTCCAGTCGCCTCAATTTCTTTCCCACCGCTGATGACCTGTGGTCAGCATGTGCTCTGCTCAGCAACAGAAATGCGAATACTTTTCTTACTTTTGTGTTCACCCAAAAGAAATAGGGCTTTTCACAGCTAACAGTTATCTTTCTTCTTTTCAACCCATCTTTTTGAGCCTTAAGCTCCAGGAAAGTGTGACCACCACCCACTCTTTGGATTTTGATAGTTGGTTATTTTGGTTTGGGTTATTGACGCTGATGGAACCATTCGAATATATTTTATTCACAGTGAGCTTGCATCTCCTTAAAGATTCTGCTAGAAAAAGAGCCTTAGAATTTCCTGATTTGAAATGTGCACGAAATCTCAGTGCTGGGAGATTTTATCTTTTAGAGTCGGGGTTGGGGGAGGCAGTAGAGGGAGAGGCATCCTGCCAGCTTAAGCCTTTCTACCCTGGGTGTGGTTTGTCAGTAGAAAGCAGTGCACAAACGAAGAGCCAGGTGACCACGAAGGAAGTGGTTGGGCAGAAAGCGCCCGTGGGAATGTGAATTGCGTGTGATGCGATTTTCTTTTGGTTATAGCAAGCGGATGAGACCCTGGATTTTGAAGAACAGATCTTGGAAGCTGCTAAATCCATTGCTGCTGCCACAAGCGCCCTGGTCAAATCGGCCTCGGCAGCCCAGAGGGAGCTGGTGGCCCAAGGAAAGGTGTGTAAACCTCGCTGGCCGAGTGGTGGAAGGTTCATGTGGCCGGAGCCTCCGAGGACTGAGGACTCTGCCTTCCCTCCCTGAGTTGCCCGTCTCTGTCCGTCTAACTGAACACCCTGTTTGCTTAAACATTACAAACAGAATGAAGGGTTTGGCTTCCAGGCCTCTCATCTAATTCTTATTAGGGAAAGTTCCCACCCCAGACCACAGTCAGGGCCTGAACAAGACATTTGGCTTCCTACAGTGCCTTAGTCTATTTAAAGATGAGAACTGTCATGTTTCCCTGGTGGATGGCTTCATAAGCACCGTAGTCGGGGGCTTTCTAATACCATTTCCAACGCCAGTGACTCCATCCATTCTTCTAGCACTGTTTAGCCGAATGCTGTCCAAGTCTACAGTGAGCATTTTCCTCAGGTCAGAAGGCCGGTCTGGTTTTGAAGCTGAGATTTCTTGGATCTGCTTCATCTCCAGTCCCCCATTCCATCTGCATTAGCGTGAAAGTGTAGTTCTTTTTCAGTGATCCAAAGGATTTATAGTGCATTTGACTAACCCTGCATACGGGAAGGTCTTCCAGTTTAAAGTTCTCCGTGTGCCCTGTGTCTCCGGTACACCGTGGACGCACCCCATCCATACATTTTGCAGAGAAGCTTCTCAGTCACACAGGCATCACAGCAATCCTGCAGGCTTGGGAAATGTCGCCATAACTGTCAGTCACTTCTGTTTGATATTAAAAGACCTTTGCTGTCAGTGTGCAGATGACAGATGTGATGGTGTCTTGACCCAAGAACGTGTAATACAGACAAGAGTTATGGCCAACCAGTGGCCTTCCCTCTGTCTTCCTCCCACAGTTGTGTCTCTTGTGAGCTTAGCCGTGTCCTGATCCAGCCTACGTACGTTGGCTCCTCTTTATAAACCATCGTATAATACATTATCCAATATCGTGCCCAACCGGCACGAATCTGTCCTTCCATGCGTCTCACTTACCCCCTGTAGACCTAGCAGAGTGCTGACCTCACTCACCAAGGACTTGGTGACTGATCATTATGTAAAGACCAAAAATGAATCCTGGAGAGGCACATCCTACCTAAAATTTCCATTTATTTCAACACTGATAAAGAGCCATCTACGTGGACACATTGCTAGATACTAGAAAGTCAGACTTGAAGATGGCCAAGCCCCTGTCCTCTAAGGAACTTATATGTTCAAGCATTTAAGGAGTTGGTAAAGGAGGTTCAGCTGGACTTGGTGCACTATGATTATATGCAGGACCATGGGGCCTTACCTGACGGTCAGCAAGCCCCGATGTGGTACCTGTCATTGCTGACAGGGAGCCCCGATTTCTTAGTCACATTTAAATACTTAAACCTTACCTCTCCAGGCCCCTCCCACAAGTACAAAAGCGTTTTCTCTCAAAGCTGCTCCCACTGCGTCTGGTCAGAAAATGTTACACTTGTTGGCATAATTTCTAGATAGAAGTGAAGATCGTCTTACTTCCAGCCTCTGACTGCTTTCCCTGCATCTGACAAAATGGTCTGTGTTTCCTTAAGATAAGGATCTGCACTCAGTTGTGTGCGTCCCTCTTTCTAACATCATCTGCCAGAAGAGTCACAGTGTGGCTTTCAGGGTCCGTAATCAGGAGAGACTGAAGTTTCCCTTGGCCCTTGAGTGAAGCGGTCCCAGCAGCTCCCATGTTGGAAATGGAGAAAGGTCGGCAGGATATAGGCATGTAAGGACAGCCCCATGCATGGTTTCTGAGCTGGTTTCCCAGAAGCTTGGTGCCTGGCAGCTAAATTGAAGCTGTTGCCTCCAAGGCTGCCTCCTTGTGGCCCCGATGAAACCAGCCAGGATGCGCAGCCTTGGGACAGCCCACATGGGAAGGGTAGGCGAGAGTCCCGAGGTGGCGCCGTGTATCTGATGAGATGCTTTTCGCTGTAGTTCCAGGCCAGGGGAGGGCCTGAGGGCTGCAGGTCGCCCTGCGCCCTCCCGCTCTCACTGCTGGTTTCTGTCTCCACTCTAGGTGGGCTCCATTCCCGCCAACGCTGCGGACGACGGACAGTGGTCCCAGGGCCTGATTTCTGCCGTGAGTCACCCGCTCCTTCTTCCCCATTGGCTTTGTGCATCCCCTGAGGGAGGTGTGGGCCTCGGGTCACTCCTCTATTGACTGTCCCCAGGCCCGGATGGTGGCAGCTGCGACCAGCAGTCTCTGCGAGGCGGCCAATGCCTCTGTCCAGGGGCACGCCAGCGAGGAGAAGCTCATCTCGTCTGCCAAGCAGGTCGCTGCTTCCACGGCTCAGCTGCTAGTGGCCTGCAAGGTGAAGGCCGATCAGGATTCAGAGGCCATGAGGCGGCTACAGGTAATGGTCACTGATGCTGGTGGGAAAGTACTCCTGTTGGAGCGGGTAAGTGTCGCCGCAGGGGGCGGTCTCACTTCCTTGGCATGACCCACCAGGCCTTCCATCCGCAAACTCTGTCCCACGTTACTCATTTTCCACCTCGTGTGGCCGTGCGTCCCACACCTGCTGCCCCACCAAAGTGATGTTCTCCATATGTGCCTTCTGGTCTCATGCCTTAGGGCCCTCCTCCCCACCAGCCCAACCTTGCTGAACTCCTACTTGTCCTTTGTGACACATCACCAAAGCCACCTCTTCTGGGAAGCCCTCCCTGACTCCCAGTCAGTCCCTCTTCTGCCCTGCCAGAGCCTCTGGCCAGACCACTTACACTTCTTGTCACCTGGTACACCCACGTTTATCTTCCTGTCTGCCTTTGACGAGGCAGTGAGCTTCTTAGGCACAGATCTTTATCTCTGAGTCTCTCACGCCTAAGACAGCTCTTGTTCAGTGTTTGCTAAAGAAAGGAGCAAAAGGATGGAGGAATTTATGAGATGTTGCTAAGGTTTCCCAGAGCCCCGAGAACACACTTACGAAGGTGACATTTGAGTCCTGCCCGTGCATCTAAGTTTTCCTGATTGTTTTAATTATAAAAGTATTTTAAACACGACAAAGGAAACATCAGAACAAAAAAAGATCACGTAGCCTCAACATCTTCACACGTCAGATGTTTTTTTCTCTTCCTGTTTCTCAGAATACTTTTGTCTAGTTGTCATCATCACGGGAGACATTCTGCATTTTTTTGCTCAACATTTTATCAGATTTCTTTTTTTCCTTGAAGAGAAGGCTTCACAATGGCTCTATGCAGGGCTCACTGGTTCATTCTTCATGAGTCTCATTTTTAATGATTGCATGATACTGTGTCAGCTGATGATGCCAGAATTTCTCTGTAGACATTGGATGTTTTTATTTCTGATTTTCTAGAGGTTCATTATTATAAACGTTGTGATGTAAATTGTTTATGTTGCTAAAAATGTTTATGTCAGACATGAATAAAATCGTAAATGGCAGAAATATTTGAACAATTCCATTGACACTCAGGACTCATTGTATTTTCTAAGTTCTAAAGTGCATCACCATTGTTGGGTCCTTGTGTGTCAGTCTGTCCCTGATCCTCCGCCTCACCTTCATTTTTCTGCTGGCATAAACCCAGAGGGGAAATGGGGAGCTGCATGTCTGTGATTGCATGATTCGTGGGTTCTGGGGACACTTCTTTGGAAAACATCTCGAGTTAAGAGAGACTTGGATTCAAATCCAGCCTCTGCCATGGATTAAGTACATGGTCTTACACAAATGGTTCCAAACCTTTCAGGCCTTAGTTGTCTCATCTGTAAAATGGGAGTAGAGGTACCTGCACTGGCTCTTACGAGGGTTAAGAAATGTGAAAGGGCTTTTGTAAGTCCTAAGGGTTTACACAGGTACAACCCAGCATCATTCTTATCGTGACTAATTTAACCAGATGCAGCAGTGTCATATCTGAATGCCTTTTGGTGACCCAGAGGTTCTCTGCAGCTACACAGACCTATGTTCAAATCGCAGCTCTATTACTGACCGGCTGCAGGATCTTAGATGAGTTACTCATCTTCTCTCTCTCCAGAGGAAAGTGGACTAATGACTTCTGACCTCATAAAGCTGTTTTGAGAATAAGCATTGATGACTGCTTGTCAGATGCTAATTGGCTTCCCCCTCCCTTCTCGTGCAAGCCCTCGTGGTCCCCATTGGTCACTTTAGGTCACCAACCAGATGAGCCAGCGAACTTTGAACGAGAAAAACACTCAACTTTCTGATGGCTAACCCCCAAGAACAAGTCCTGGACCCCAAGGGGGCTGGGCAAGGACTACGGGAGGCTTAATGAAGCCTTGAACACCAGTTGAAAGAAATTCCAAACCTCAGGGGGCAGAGGTCAAGTCCCCTGGGCCATGTTTTTGGGGCATTAAGAGTAAGCCCGTGGGGGCTGTCCCCCTTACTGAAGATCTAAACCACTCATTGACAGGTTCTTCTTTACCTGTCTGTAGCATTCAGCCCATACTCGCGACAGAAAGCCCCGCTGGGACTCTGAAGTACATCTGTAAAGGCCTTGCTTGCTGTGGGGCTCCCACTTCTCCCACACAAAGGCTTTCAGAGCCCTTCACTCCCTCAGAAGGCAGCCAGTGAGCGCCAGGCCTGGGTAGCCACTGTGCCTGTGCTGGGGGTGCGGAGATTCAAGCCACAGCCCCTGCCTTCAAGTTCCTCACTGTCCAGGAGGGAGAGAAGCAACCACATGTGTGGTAAGGGCTGCAAAGAAGCCAGCACGGAGCTTTCCAGGAGCCCTCGGGAGGGTGTGGCTAAGACCAAGGCAGACAGAAAAAGTAATCTCTGAGCCAAGTCCTCAAATATGCCTCAGTTGGATACAGTTGGGGGTGGGGATGGTTTTCTAACCAAAGAGGCAGCCCCTGAGCATGCTTCTGTTAACACGTGTATCATATTGCTGCAATCTTGTATTTACATAATTATAATTCCCCTCAAAAATGTGTGTTCCTTGGGAGCCGGGAAAAGTATCTCGTTAATCTGTGAATGAGCTATGGTTAGGCAGGTTCCAGTGTTGGTAGAATCAGTGGATGGATGGATGGATGGACAGACAAGTAGATGATAACTAGAGAGAAACTGTGTTATGTATAACTGGATGGTAAATTAATGCATAGTCTCATGAACTGTACCTTCATGTCTGTTCTTGCTGAATCCAAGTGGCTGTTTCTAATGATCTAATGTTTATTTTGTTCCCTCTCCAGGCAGCAGGAAATGCTGTAAAAAGAGCCTCAGACAATCTCGTTCGTGCCGCCCAGAAGGCAGCATTTGGCAAAGCTGATGATGATGATGTTGTAGTGAAAACAAAGTTTGTAGGGGGCATTGCTCAGGTTTGTGATCCAATCCAGACACTGTTTATTCCCAAGATGAGCAATGTGTTATAACAGAGGCACAAAATAACAGTGGCTTAAACAAGCTGGAAGTTTATTTCTCCCTCGTGAAACAGTCTTGGGTGTAAGAAGTCTACGGATGGTGTGATGGTTCCTTTGTGTCTGAGACCCAGACTCCATCTGCCTTACATTCCTGAGATGTTGCCTTGGCCACTTGGTCTAAGATGGCTTGATAACCACCCCAGGTTTCCAGCCAGCAGGGAGACGGAAAGTTAGGGCAGGCATGACTCTAAAGTTGCCTACATCACTTCCTCTCACATGCCATTGGTCAACACTTAGTCACATGGCCAGCCTAGCTGCAAAGAATGCAGGAAAATGTAGTATTCTTTTCTGAGTAGCAGTGTGTCTACCTAAAAATCAGGGATTCTACTATAGAAAAGGGAGAAAAGAGGATGGGAAGACAGCAGTATTATCATTTAAATAAAATGATGCATTTGGGGCTGCTACTCACTAGACTTTTGACCCTAGGGAAAGAATGAATGGTGACCGTCTTCCCAGAACTTTTACAGGAGTAGATGGGATTCTGACTTATGCAGATCTGCATTCTTGTGCATGGTAGTGCGGAAAAAAGGTCAGGAAACCAGGCTTGCAGTTTAGGGTGTGTTAATATAAATCCTTTTTACGAGACGGGTTTTCCACCAGGAGCACTGAGACCCCATTGCTGAAGTCACTCATTCCCATGACTTTCTCATCTCTTCCTGAACCACTCCCTGTGTTTGGAAATAACACTGGATGTGTTTTTACCAGAATTGCTTTCTAGATAGACTAGTTCCATGACAAGTTCCACAAAGCAGAGTCTCTGATCAAACAGGTCTGGGAAACACTGTACTCCAGCCTCAGGTATAACGATGCTTGTTAGTCTAGCAAAGATTCTGAGAAGGCCTGTGGGAGAGAAATCTGCTTGGCTTTCCTGAACACAAACTTTTATTCTTTTCACACAATACCTATGAACTCATATCCCTCAGATCACACCATATAAGCAGAAAATAAACATATGAAAGCCATTGAGTAATTAAGGACTCCAGCTTTAGCCTCAGGCACACCTGAGCCAGGCCCTGCTCCGCTAGCTGGGGCACTTCAGGGAAGGGGACTCACATCTCTGAGCTTCAGCTCTCTCACTGGAGAAATGGGACATTGAAGAGGACGTGCTTCACAGTGTTGCCGTGACAATGGTGGGACCCTCCCCGTGGAGTGCTTACACCTGAGCCTGGTGCACTGTAGTGATGCAGTAGATACTTGCTATTAAGTCGGTGGCCAGAGGTCAGCTTATTTTCTTGGATCAACAGGGTCATTGGTCTCAAAAGCAAACCATGGCCCAGAGGCTGGTCCCCAGAGGTAAGAATGCTTTGTCCCAGGACACGGCTATGGCCCGCTGTAGCGGAGGCTGTGGGAGCCCGTGAGGCTCGCCGGGGAGGGGAGAGCAGTTTCCTAGACAGTTTCAGATCCACCCAGCTTGTTGCTTTCCTTCCAGATCATCGCTGCCCAGGAGGAAATGCTAAAGAAAGAGCGAGAACTAGAAGAAGCCAGGAAAAAACTGGCCCAGATCCGCCAACAGCAGTATAAGTTCCTGCCCACCGAGCTGAGGGAGGACGAAGGCTAAGGCCGGAGCCGAGACGGCACGCCCCAGGGGACGGCTCTGTGAGAGCCGGACAGAGGTGTCCCTCCTGCGGCCGGGCACTGACCTGGGACTGCCTGCCTTCCCCCGGGTGAGCCCGGAGCCCCGAGCGCTCATCCTCACGCCTCTGTCCTGCCAGGCACCGGCTGCATGATCGTGATGTCACACGGTACAGTGTCCCGCCCACAGCTCCTCCGCTGCCTCCCGCCGTGCCTCCCCGTATCTCAGGAGAGAGGGGCGTAGGTTTCACCAACTGTTACCAAAAAGGAGAAGTCAGTATTACGTCGTCCTCAGACACTCGTGCTTCTGCTGGTCCTCCTCTAGGCCTGCTCCCCGGCCTGTTGTGAAATCTTAATAGGAAAGAAAAACCAGCTCGGGGGAAAATCACTGATGCCATAGACACTCAAAGATACCCTTCTCCCTCCCAGGAGAAGATGGATGGTGGAGTTGGACACGGTTAATAAAGCCAGAGACATAAGCCAGTGTGGACTCCAGGAGGGCAACTCGGGCCCACCTGCCATGTCTCCAGCACTGGCTCACCCAGAGGGTGGAGAATTCCTGCTCCTTTTTGCACGCTTTCTTGCCTCAGTGTGTAAGCCCCTTGTACAATCTAGACCCAACTTGTATTCTGTGGCCCAGAAAATCGAATGATTATTTTTTTTTCCTCCATGATCCAAGGGCAGAGGTATGGGGGACTGTCAGGGCTGGGGGAGCAGGGGCTGTAATAAAGTGTGTGGGCTCCTTACTCTGCGGAGGCTGCTTCAGTTCCTACAGATTCATCCGCACAAACCCACATCCCCCAGGCGACAGGCAGTACCTTACGCATGCAGAGTCGGGGTTCAGCTCAAATAAAGCAGTTCTTGGTGACTCTGTCTTCTGGGTCCCACGTCAGCTTCTCTGCTCTCAAAATGGTCATAATTCAGGATTCTATTTAAAAATCTGTTACCTGTCCTACAACCTAAGATGGACGTTTTCTCTGTCTTAATAGCCCTAAAATCCAGATGTATTCTAAGACCATTATGAACCTTTAACAAGATAGTTTTGCTAATTAACACATCTTATCAGTGAAGACACAGTATTTTCAGAGTCTACCTCCTGGATCCCACACTTGCAGAATTTTATATTTCCCCCACCCTCCCCCTGCTTTCTCTTTTCTTTTCAGAGCCCTCTCCTCGGAAGGGCATTTTAAGATATTGAACTTACCATCGATCTGAGCCTTTACCCAAGAAAGTACATGAAGGGTGGATGACTTGTGGGACAGAGCCTAATGCCAGGTAGCAGGTGTCTTTAAAAAAAAACTCATTAGGGGAAGACAATGGTTATGGAGGTGCGTGGCTTTCAAAGCTGGTGACCGATGAAGGCTGTCATCCTCCGCTTCTCTGCAGCAATGGGGTATCACACCTCCTGTTGCATCACATTAGAGCTTGAAAATCCTACCTGGGGCAAACAATGCTTTGGTCCTCAAAAAAAAGTATACCTGTAGGCCTTGCCCGGTGGTCTAGCCCATGCTGTGGTGTTAAAATAGAATTAAACTCTTGGCAGCTTCCCATATTTATAAAAGATTTATACTTGTAAGTGCCACACTTAGTAGAATGCTTTTCCCAGCCAAGTAGAAAGCTCCAGGAAATACAGTGGAAATGAGAAACAAGTGGAGAGGGCATGTGGGGGGTTGAGGGTGTAAGCATTAGCTCTGATGAGAGGGAGCTGGCCGAGCCCTGGCATCTCTGGGAAGAGCCAATGAACTTCTGGCTCGCCCCCTTTGAGTGTGGGCAGTACAGCTCTTCATACTGTCCCGGGCTGCACCCCCTCGGACCTGAGGCTTAAGGCTGAGGGCCCGCGGACTGGGGGCGCTCTCCAAGGGACACTTGCAGATGGGAATGGGGTGCTTTCTGAGGCTCAGTCAGACACAGGGGCTCAAGGTCAAGATGTGCCAATGGCCTCAGGTAGCAGGGCTGGGGGTCCCCTCCATGGCCACCCTCACCCCCTTTTCTTCCAGGCTGTGCAGTGGCTGCTCCCCTTCTCCTTCTCGTGCCCTGTCACAGCCTGGCATCCCAGGAGCCAGGCAGGGCAGGCAGTGAGCTCTCTGTCTCTGCCCGAGAGTCATTTAAAACCTCTGCCTCTGCTGCTTTTGGTACCAGAAAAACCTCCAGAGACAAGCCAGATAGAAAGGCCTGCCCTCTGCGACTTTAAAAGAACAGGTAAGGAGCAAAGTTGATTTTTGAAGGACCTGTGTAATTATCCTTCTGTCCGGTGCGTTCTGCTGCTGTGAGCTTCAGAGAATTTGGTTCCCAGTCCCCACCTGGTGTGGTGCTGGTTTTCATCTGCCCCTTCCCTGGCCCCCGTGCGTCACATGTGTGAGTGGGCTCATGGTTGGCTTGTCTTTCCTCATGTCATACACTGGGGGGAGGCTGGGCTTTGGGTGTTGTTTAGTAGGTGTCCCTGCAGGTGTCCCCAGATGGCAGGGAGGGGACTTCTGGTTTTTCTTCAAAGGGTAATGACACAGGTCTGAGCTGCATATTGGGGTGTGATTTCTCATTTCAGAGCATCTAATAAGAGGGTGGTTTCAAGGTAAAAATGGCCCGAGGCCTGGAGCACAGAAATGCCTGTCTGTGTGAAGGAGGTGCAGGTGTGTGGGTGTGTGTCCCATGAGAGGAACTGACGGGAAACCTTGAGCTGATCTTTGTGCCCAGAAATTGTTGTCTCTAAAATTCAAGAAGGAACCTGAACTGGACTTGAGAACTGCCCGGCGATAAGGGAGGTTGAGCTTTGCTTGGTTCTGCCTTTCACAAAAAGTCTGGATAAGGATGCTGCAGCCATATTCTGTTGAACAACCAGCTCTTGCTTGAACTGCTCCGTCCGTTCAGGTGTGGGCCCGGTGATCAGGGCCAGCAGGTACCTTGAGTCCTGGGCGGCCCTCCGGTCAGGCAGTGCGGGCCCCCCAGGCCGCCTACGGGGGGTTGCATGACCTTGAAGGATGAGCTCCATGTGTCCTTCATCACAGAAGACCCCTCAGGGCTTCTCACAGGCTCTCCCTGCTTGCATTCTGGGTGTTTTACCAACAGGTTTACAGGCAACCAAAGCGTATTCCTAATTTATCAAAATATTATAAACAGAATTCACCGTCCCCCCAAGAGAGTGAACCCCGCCACCAATGTGATCCTAAAGTCACAGCCCCACGAGGGAGCCAGGCAGCAGGGTGATGTGGGCAAGCTGTG